TATATATATAGGTATGTAATACTAATAACGTTTATGATATACCTAAACAGTTTTCTTTTTCTTACGTACATTACAGAAATAAAAATATAAATTTATGTAAGATTACCATTTGATTGCCGCTATTACGCTTACAATAGGTTACATTGAGATTAGGTGTGACGACGGAGAAGTAGACACACCTCGTCACAACTAGTTCCGGGGTGTCATATTTATATATTTCAATTATTACTTAAGCAAGAAATATGTATATGTTAAGGCGTTAATGCAGATAACTGTGAGATGTGTTGTTTATAAAATAAGAATTCTATAGAAATAGTTGAAATTATGATATGGTGGGCACACACAGATTGATAAATATAACATTTAATATATCACTGAATTTGTTTTACTTTTGACTATAGAAAATTGAAAATATTTTTATTTCTGAAAATATCCTATATTCCGTTCGAAATAACTTATTGCAGCATGATCGCAATGTTTTTACGGAAATACTATACTTTTTTGTGTAATGTTCGTTTGTCGTTTTGCAATTTTAAAAGTGTAACAACATGCCCCATGTATCAACTATCCACGGTCTTCCCTAACAATTAGGTTACTTGTATTTAGAGAGAATGGTTTAAATTATGAATATTTTAATAAAAGCGTGAAACGTATGAAAACTTTGTGCAACGTTAATTAAGATTAGCTCATTTTCTTAGATATACGTAGATATACGTAATATCGATAGCAGTCTAAGATTAATCGAACTATCAAGCTCCAATTTGCTCTCTAAGGCCCAGTTCGACAACTGACGACTAACTCATAACCGAGGTTCAGCCTATTCCTTGTCTCCTTCCAATTTTAGAATTGAATTTCAAAAGATGAGGAACATGTTGAACCTCAAGTCAAGAGTTGCGAAACTAGGCCTTAAATGTGTAAATATACTTATTATAAGATCCATAGGTGAATGAAAAACACTTCTGGATCAGCAGCGCTCAAATGTATTCGACATGAGCTTTGTACGGGATGGAGAGGGATTAAATTTTGCGTGAAATCCGCATTAAGCCAGGTCGCGATGGGGGTCGGCGCGAGGAAGGGCGCAAAAGGGGGGACAGAGCGCGACAACACGAGCACGTACCAACATAATTTGTCTAACTGCGTTCGCTCGCACGGTCTGATGGTCAGCGGGATTGCCGTTGGTGTAATTCGGCAACAGCTTGTAGTGGTTCCGAGTCCCATTGCACGGTAACGTGTACTAATGTTCGTGCCCCCGTGCTATCTGGTCGTATTACACCGCCCTGTATAGCTAATCATCGTTAGTGACAGAGACATTGGCCACGGCCAATTAATGGTGTCGCCCGTTGACGTTCGGCAAAAACACACCGGCAGAGTACATGATTCCCTGTTGTTCAAATTGTAATCTATACGTGACACACCTAGCGAGAGAAAACCTCTAGAAATGGACTTTCCTATTGCTACATGAAATTGCGGTACTCCATAAATAGGATAACGATGTCATTCGCTGACGTTTAATAAAAGCTCATGGGAACAGTGCAGAAACGTTCCATTGCTTAAATTGACGCCTAACGGCAGAAATATGTTGATATTTTGACGGAATAAAGGCTGTAAATGGATTTTCCTGTGTTGCGACTTGAAAATCTAAAAAAAAAAAAAAGAAAAAAGGAAAGCATAGAAACTAGACACACGTAACATTTAATAGTAGGACGATGATGGGGTAAAAATGAGTAGAGGTAGAATAAGTAGAATTAGGCAATCGGAGAGTGCGCTGGCACGAGTGTTGTAACATGGAGGTTACTTTGAACAGAGGACGGAGAGAGAGAGAGAGAGAGAGCTTTAATTGGGTCATAAGCCCTCCTCGCGATTCAGCCAACTTGTAACCAACCCTACGGTTCCTACCTGAGTCCGAAGCACTTTCGCTCGCTCTCATAAAGCCCTTACCCAGCTCCAAATCACTTTCACTTTTCTCACGAATTTCTGCACGATCGCAAACTTCTGCCATGTTACGTTTTCGGGCTGAAAAAAATGTTATATAAATGTAATAGCGAGAAACGGATAATAAAAAGTAGAGGAGGAGGAAGAAAATATATCATATCAAACTTTTTTATCGCTTTATACACAGATAACGATCGCCACGAGTTACCAATTAATTATCTTTGAGGTAATAAATATTCCAGTTACAAGATATTACTGCGTTACAGTAAAGTTGCCGCAATAAAATTCGCGAACAATGATAACGAGGTACGGGAGTGCACTGTGCAAAATGTAATTTGCAATGTCTTGCGCCTCGGCGTTCGTCGCCGACTTGCGATAAATTCCGGCGACGTTCATGCGGCAGTCAGTATATACAATGCATATTTCATTTTGCATAATGAATCGTCTCGCCATCGGGCCTTTAATTAAAATTCAGACTCGGCTTGTAATCAGGAAATAATAATTTTTACCCGAGCTCTCTCACCCGACGTTCCATATTATCGTTTGCCGCCAGGCTGGATGTTGCCATTTGCATATCACAATAACTTTAAGGCAAGAACCATGTTTATTGGCTTACCGTAACAAACTTGTTTATTTATTGTTGAAATTTTACCAAAAAAATTTCTCCATGTTTTGCAATCGCTGCTTTTGCAAAATACGCCGAATTTATTTCGCGTGCATGAAAATGCAATGAATTTTCCATTCCGAAATTTAATAAAATAATGATAGAAAGGATGAATACACATACGTGGTATGTTTTCGAAATCGTGAAATAATTGTTACATAATTGTAATTATGCAAACGTTTTGGTAACAAAGCTAATTGTTTATTAACAAATGCTGCTGGAAAACTTCAATTCGCATCAAGATTTTTAATCATTGCATAATAAACGATTCAATTATCTTACATTTTAAAATGATAAATCCAAAAAGTATTAATATGCATAACTTTGAAAAACAATAACGTTTTTACAGACTGCTTTTACAGACTGTTCGACGTACTCGCGTTTGAATGAATGAAAAATCGAAAAGTTCGACATCTTGAATTAAATGAAAAAGTATGAAAGGCAAAATATTATAGTATCATATATTGTGTCGCAAGGTTTATTTTTGTACTGCTGTTGCTGTACCAGCGCATTATCGAGCGTCGAATGGACATTGCAGCGATAAGCTCGTGGTCCATTTTGCTGACAAAAAACATACACGGAAAGAGAAACGCACGAACAAGCTGACGCATATATGTCGAGTCGATTCGCACCTGTTATGAGAGCCGCTGTATCGTAAATATTTATTCGGGAAAATATTTTTCCCGAGTCTCGCGGAAAATGTTTTCCGAAATTTTTTCACGATCGTAATCGTCGATCGCCGACTTGCTACGACTTGTTTCGCGATTTCATGAAAATTCAGACGGTCGACAGGCACAACGAGAGCTGCAGACAATTATAGATTTCAGCAATTCAAATTTTGGGACATTTGCAGGATCAGGTTGACAGAGGACGATCGAGAGACGATGAAAAATCGAAAAAGCCCTTGAATTTTATTTTCGATCAAAATAGAATAAACAAATCAACTTGCCGTTTCGAATGTTTTTTTTTTTTTACGTGGAGAAACAGTTACGAGCAATATGAAATAATGATTTGAAAATATGAATATGCAATATAAAAATTAATACAAGAATATAAATAAATACAACAGAGATATTAGTTTAACGAAAGAATTTAATGATAATAATTCTTCTTGTTATTCATCTGCTTAGAAACTTGAAAGAATGAGAATTTAAATAAACATTAAAATAGAACAATTTTATTTTTCTTGATTAATTCGAAAGTATTTTTTAATTATTTTTCTTTAATTTTAACAAATATAAACAGTTGCATTTCAATTCTTTAGTTTTTTTTTTATTATTAATTATTTTAACCGAGCCAACAGCATTTTTGAAAACTAGGTTGATGTTTCATCTTGTTTTTTGAAAAATCTAATTATTTCCATTATTTTAATTATTTTGCGTTAAATACAATTCTAGATTGATCGCAAAATTTCGCTCCTGCTTTTCGAATTTCGAGATATCGTATACATATACCATGTGCCTCATAAAATATGAAGCATTCTATAGTGCTACCAATATTTCCGTAAGGTCAGTATCCACACCCTATTACTAATGCAAATGCACCTCTATTATTATTGCAAATAAGCTGCCCTATTATTATTGTAAATAAGCTATGGGTGGTAATTAATATCGATTTATAATATTGTTTCCAGGTAACGTGAATTTGTCAATTTTCATCAGTTCAAAGGTGAAAGGGCATTTCCTGTTTTAAATTATTAAAATCTTCGTTATAGAAATTGACGCAGGTTAATGATATAAAGTTTTTATTAATAATTCCTGCTGGCATTCATATTTATTTATTTGTTCGATAAGTGATGATGTATGTTTCCCTTCTTATACGTTTGAGATGAGAAAAGTTTCCTGATGGGGGAATATATTTTTAATATTCAGATTTAAAATTTATTTTACTTAATAATTGGAAAATTTTTCAATTAGAAGAACTTCCAACGTTCGGAAAGTACTACTCTTTAAAGTACTACGTTTAGTAATTGACGATCACAGATATATGCACACTCTCACCTTGTTACTACTCTCGGAGAGTTGCGTCAAGGTACTTTGTAACCATTCGTTTGCGAAGCACAGTTTGACATGCTCGCAGTGAACCTCTCGTTTCGCAAAGTTTCAAGATCAACTCCGTAATTTATTTTATAATTCCGCAGAACATGATAGTAAGGGAAGGAGGTGAAACGTGGACCGAAAGGGGATTCTGTTTATTTTACCGCTCCGGCGGCTTTCGCAGTTGGCAGATTGGAGAGGTGGTGGACCTGGCTTCGTAATTCCCATGGAGAGGAGATGGGGTTGCAAGAAGAGGAGGGAATTCGCGGTTGCGGTGTCGGGGAAAGATTGCGGGATTACTGGACGCTGGTGTATTTCGTAGATATCGCCGGGGCGCTCTTTTTTTTTTTTATTGTGTCATAGCTCTCTCTTTCTCACCCCCGAATTCACCCTCCGTGCACGTCACCTCCCGCCCTTCTCTCTCTCCCCCGCCTCCCCGCCCCCTCTCCCCTCCGGAGCTATAAAAGCACTCTCCGCCGTTACGGTTTAAAGCCGCGGTCGGTACGTCGGTCGATTTGTTAATTTGCGAGCCGACCACTACTTACCCCTGGCCGAAGAGGGTGCATTTAGAGAGAGAGAGAGAGAGAGCGCGTCCAGAGAAACGCCCGATAAAAAAGAGAGAGGGTTAACCCGGCAAGTTTTATGGTTTTCAAATAATGCGGAGATAAGCACTTCACCATTCCCGATCGATTGTTCTTACTGTATTATCTAATATTCGCTGTTTTCTAATTCGATACTTATCGATTACTGTACTGGCAATTAGCACAACTTACTGTATTACATTTAAAAATCTCACGTATATCACTAATATTATCGATTATTTATTCTTACTTTGTTATTTATGAAAACAATTAGGTTTCGCGAAGATGTGTGCAAAATGATGAATTTGACGGAGAAATTAACGGGAATAATCCGGATCCTCGAAAGGGTGGAATGTGCGCGTACGAAACCGAAACGTTTATCTGCGGCCAAGTGCCAAAACAAGTCCCATTCCGTTGGGAGCAGGATCGTTTCGGGGTAGGAAAAAGTGCCAGTAGACACTAATGCGTCTCTTCCTAGAAGGATATAGCGGGTGGTCGGTTTCTTGCTGCCTTAAGCGTCGTTGGAAAGTAGCGTACTTGCGGTACGCGGCAGCCGCTGTCGTTATTTCGCAAAACAGAAATTCCGGTGGAAGAAAAAGTTTGGGCTAGAACGGGAAATCTATTTGTTATTCCACGGTGAGCACCGAATAAATTGCAGGTAAACGTGACAAAGCGGACAACAGTCGCCATGCAGTTGTAACACTGATCAACTGAATCAAACATCGAATCTGATGTAACGAAAACAAGTTTATTATATACGTATACACAGTATAAAAAACATTTTATATTTGTGTTAAAACCGATACTTGTTAAAATTTTTGTGTTGAAATTTTAACATGTCCGAGTTGATTGAACGTAATTGTATTATTTGAACATTTTGTGTTAAATTAATATTTATTTCTCAATATTAAAATAACACAGTTTATATATGCGTAAAAATGAAGAATAACATTAACAACGTATTATAATATATATAAAACTCTAAGATAAATGAATGTATTAATTTAACGTAATTGTCGTAAATGGCAATTTTACTGAAGAAATATTCCTCCACAGTTTATTTTTAAACTGTGTCAGTGTTACATTTTTTGTGTTAATTTCTGACATAATATTTGTATTACTTCCTAGTATATTCAAAGAAAGGGAAGCAATGTAGTGCATTTTGTTTTATTAAAATATATGACGTATCTACATTTTTGCTACAAGTTTGTTAGCATAAAGTGATACTAATTATGCTATAAACAGAAATTCTCTGGATATATAAAACGAGTATTATATGGAAAAAAAAAAAAAAAACTGAAGAGGGAAAAAGATTGCCGTTATGGAATAGGAGAAGATATGGAACACTACTAATATATAGGTACATATGTATATAATATGCTTTTTACGTCAGATACATGTGTACATTTCGTTATCGAATTCAATTTAATTATATCATTTGAAAATATTACTTTCAAGACCTGCAAGCTAAAGTTAGAAAATATCTACCTCTCAAAATTATGTAAAGAGTACACATTTGTGAAACTGTCTGCTACTAGCAAAACTGAAATGCAGCTTTTACGACAACAGTAGTGAACACTAATGGCCAGTGGCAATATTAAGACATCTAAGCAAATTGTAAAGAAGTAATTTTGACGGTCTCCCTCTCAGAATGCAACGCAAACTAGATATTCTCCACAATTCTCCCATTTACTCCGTAATCGCCTCCTTTCCTCTATTTTGGGTTAAATTGATACACAATTTGGGCGGATCGTTTGCGGACACGTGAAATTAAAATAAACACATT